CCCCCGCTGCGAGGCAGCAAGAGCTGCCCGTGCTGCAGGCAGGCTGCGGTGCCTGGGGACCGCGGGGTGCGGTCGGGACATTTTGATCCATGTAGTAGTTTTATCAGTGACTGAGGTAACTGTGGCTCACCTGTGAATCCAGACAGTAATTTGGGAATACTTTTTTTTTTTCTTGTTATCGTAGTGGGGTTTTTTTGGTGTTGTTATGTTCTGCTGTTGGAGTACTAATTAGAATTGGGGGTGGCTTTTTTTCTGTTATGAAATACTCAGTAACTCTGATTTTTGATGTCAATGCTCAATAACGGGGGGCTGCGCAGGTGCAGGTGCGCCCATGCTGCAGACCGTGGGAGTCCATCACAATAAAGCACTTAATATTTTTTAAAATAAATTAATCTATTGTTGTCTTCATGAGTTACATTACCAGTCATTTCCTCAGTAAGTGACTGCCTTTAACTGGAGCTATTTTCAATGTTTAGAGAGGCCAATTAGCACAGAAAAAAAATGGCAGAAGCTGTCGAAGTCTTATCTAAACGAAGTCCTTTGTGGCAGACTCGTGAAGTTTTTTTTTTTTTTGTGAATCGCTGAGGTAGATAACACCATGGACTTCCGGGGCAGTCTGTGCAAGAATGTATATTGAAAAAGAGCAATAGTAAAAATAAAATACTTTTGTAAGAGAAGAATCTTTTTAGGCCTTATTTAAAAAAAAAAAAAAAAAGGCATCCTTAAAGTCACATGTATTATGGGTATTGCTCCATTGCATCCATGTATATGCAAAATAATTTTTATTCCAGCTACGTTTCTGATAGACCTATTTGCAATACTACTAAAGAAGTTATTGGTGATTTCCAATGCTAGAAGGAGATATGATTTCCAAATAGCAATCTGCTGTCTTGCTTTTCAAAAGGCATACAGCACAGAAAGCAGCTTTCGGTTATTCAGTATTGTGTTTCTTCCCTTCAGGGATCAAGGTTATTTTCACATAATACAAATCGTTTTCTCAATCACTGAGTTTTTAAGTTCTAATTTGGTTTATTTGACTAAGATAGCTTTCACTTCGGACAAAACCTCCTGAAGATTTTGGAAGAGTCATTGCAATTACCGTGATTTTAGAAAATACCTTATACTTCCAGAGCTTTCAGAAGAAGTTTCATCATTTCCTTAGATTTATAGCCCCTTAATCACCCTGCGAAAGCACTACTGTTCAGAAACAAACTTCTGAAAGTCTCCCAGACCTGGGAACATTGATACTACATATCAGTGGTATTACTAAATAAAATTAGGAAAAATTCCTGTTTGCCATTCCCAATTTTACAAAGTTTCGTTTTGACAAGTGTTGCTCTAAAATAATTTTTTTTTTGAAATTCTTGTTCTCCCGATTTCTGTAAATCATTTTTCAGTTAAATCTAAATTCTGTCCGAATGAGATCTCATAGCAGTAGTTGACAACCATATCTGTCTCTTCTGTTTTCTTTCCTCAGTATGTCACGGTCGCTCTTAGTTGGTCTTGTTGATGGATATGAGTTACCATACGTTTATCTATTTTTCACTCTATAGAATGTGTTCCTTTATCAAATGGTATACTAACTTATGAGAATTAAGTATGAGCAACTGAAGTATCTTTTAGCATCTAACAGTCAGCACTTTAGCAGAAAGCAAAGATGTAAATAAATCCAAAACCAGTGGTTTTTTTCTCCAGCTTCCTTCTTTGTACCTCTTTATCATCATTTACAGTCTGTAACTAAGGGTCTAATTATAGGGGATTAGGTTGCTAAGCAAAAATCTAGTATTTTGGGAAACTTCTTGTTCATGGTACTTGTGAAAACCAATCCAAAACCATTTCCTAGTAGTGCATGTACTGTGTCAGTTAAACAAAATTTTGCACAATTAAGAAGCAGTTATTGCAAAACAAGTAGGCATTATGTCTGCTGTGCGTCTGACTCATCATCACTCACTCCATTTTCCTAATCTGGAAAGCAACTACTGACCTACAGTCTGCTTCCCTCCTTTGAAAAAAGCATTCTAAAACTGGACATGTTTTAGAATAGCATTAACACTATAGTTCTTTTATGATTTCACTACAAATAATAACAATAAAGGCTTCCAGAAAAGCTTAGAAAAGACGGTCTTAGAATAATTGCACAATGACGCTCATGCAAAGCGTAAGAATTTTGTATGTGTCTGAATAAAGCAAGGATTGTTTAAGGATTGTCTCCCTTGTTTAAGGAGAAGTTCAGTCCTGAGCTTTCTTCAAAAAACTCACCACTTTCCAAATTTAAAGATTTTAATTGTTTTTAAATAGAAAAGGCTAGCTGGATATAGTTAATTTCTAGAATCAATAAGGCAGAGATTTTAGCAAACAAGAGTTTGAAACTGTAGTCTTAGCCATTCAACCACTGCTGTTTTGTCTGGGGTCAGCTTTGACCATGTCTTTGGCTTCATTCAAGAACCAGTTGTTTCTCACTTGAGATAATAAAAACATTTTCCTAATGAGGACGGTCTGGCAGTGGATCAGGTTACCCAGAGAGGTATGCAGTCTCCATCCTTGGAGGTTTTCAAGATCCAACTGGTAAAGCCCTGAGTGACCTGGTTGGAGTTCGCAGCTGGCCCTGCTTTGAGCAGGGGATTGGGCTGGGACCTCCTGAGCTCCCTTCCTGCCTGGGTGATGCTGTGGTCCTGTGAGTTGGTATGTGTGGGTAGAGCCCCCACAAATCCAGTGTGATTAGATGGAGGGACCAGGTAAATGTAACCTGAAGTTTCATTCACTTTCATCTGAATCTGATCTAATACGCTAGGTAAGGATGGCTGCGAGTATCAGAAGGGCTGTTATTAGCACGGGCCAACCCTCTGGGATAGAAATGTCTCCAGTGCCATTATGCAGGTGTCTGAACACCCGACATAGCAGCTGGGGAACTGCTATGCCAATCCCGTGCCACTGGGTGTCCTCATGTGGCCAACTACTTTGGTTTGGGGGCCCTTAGCAATGGCAGTATGTTGCAAAATGCTGAAACAAACAAACAAAAAAAAAGAAATTGGACCAGTATTTTATTAATCATTGGGGGTTGACCAATATAACATTTACTCATATCTAGTACATCACCTGCTGAGAAATCTAAGCATAAAAATAATTGCCATGAATATGAAATGTATGCTTCTCCTAATCAGCTTCAGTGAGGATTATATCCAAAGGCCTTTTTGCGGTCAGTCATAGAGCTTAATTGCTGTAGTTAATATTACAATTTAAAAAGGCCTGGAAGGAGAGCTGAATATTAGGCTCATGATAAATGATAATTATCACTTTGTGTAGATGGATGAAAAACATTTCTAATTAAATTATTCTTGTAACATAAATTAATAGTGTGATCTGGATAAAGTACTTCTGATTTCACATTTAGAATATTTCTAAGAGCACCAAGTTTGTGCTGGAATTTCAGTCTGCAGGTCAAATTGTCTTTTAAAAATACCTGGCTTTTCAATGAATGTAGCAGCTTGTCTCAGGTTTCTGCATTGAAGACGTTTTGCGGTAGTGGAATGGTTTAAACATCTCATGGAGAGTAAAATGGAATAATAAAAACTGCAACTAGCATGATCTCTTAGTTTTATCAGCATGGCGAAAGGGTGATCTGACAGGGATTCATAGTGTAACATTCACATTTTATTCCTGCATTAATTTCATCTCTGTCTGAGTTTTTTTGACGTGACATAAACCAGTAAGTATTCTTAAGTATCCTTTAAAAACAGAAAAGCTGATTAGCAGCTCTAGGGAAAGGAGTGAGATGGGCAGTGAAGATGCAGGTCATTGAGTTATGAGAGAGAAGAAAGTGTGAAAGTTGTTAAGAAGAATTACTCTATCTGCAAGCTGCCTGCGCTGTGTAAAAATTCGATGATTTTTGCATACCTTGCATTTCTTTCTCATTAGTAAGACCAGCAGTGAATAAAGTATACAGGAAAACTTAAAGATCTCAATTGAAGGCGGCAGGTTGCATTTTAAGAAGTGGACTATAGATCATGATTCTAAGCTGACCAGTAGCTTCATGGCCTAATATATGTGGTTTACATATGTTAGGTGTTGTCAGCAGCCCTTCCTAACAGGCCTCATTAGGTACAAATTTTAAGTTTTGAAAGCAACTATCCATGACTTCAGGAGGGTTTTTTTGAAGGGTGTAAGACGGAGATAGATGACCGCTTTCTGTCAAAATATGATGGGAATTGTGTGTCAAAGCACTCTCTGTGCATGTGGAAAACTGTCCCTGAGGTTTTCTGCATGCATGCCCTCTTGTGTATGCAATACATTAGTGCTCACCGTATATCTCAAAATCTGGCACTACTGTATCTCTCTAAACATTGCATTAATCCATCTGGCTGTTACCATGGTAACAAGGCTCCCTACTGGTGACTGAAGAAGAGCTGAACCATTAAAACTAAATGTACATGGTTTAAAAATAAGTAACTAAGCTCACTTTGTGTAGCACTACAGAGATACCATGGATCGATGGTAGAAAATGGACTAACTATTATTTTCTGTGCATTCTTTTCATTCATGGTCACAGATCTGAAATGAAGCCTATTGCTGAAATGGTCTTCAAATCCAATCTTTGTTTGCTCACATTTATTCACTACATATTCTACAGAACTCAGGATTTAAAAATACAGATTTCTTCAGGAGAAGCTTACATATTCCATGGTACATATTTATCCCAGAGGGTGGAAAGATGAAATAAATAACTTAAAGATCCCAAAGCAGATTAGAAATGTTGCTGGATATTTCACTGCACATACTCTTTCTCTCTCCCTTCTGCGCTTGTAGCATTGCCAAAATAAGTAAAGTGCACAACTTTATTACAGAATCAATGTCTAACTGAGCACTGTTAGTTGGACATGAGATTTTTTGAGAACCGTAATATTGTGGAAACCCTGTCATGAAATACTGAACTGAACTTGATAAATCATTAGATGATGAATTTCCATTTTTCATTACAGTGGCGCCATGTATGCTATTAATGGTAGACTCAAGTGTATAATTCTATTAGACTATAGGGAGGCCGTTGGTTTTGGACCAGAAATAAAGCTTGAAACTATCCGTTGACATCTCATCCCCTTCTGTGCTCATTGTCCAATGCATTTTGTCCTCTAGAAAAATGCTGTATGTTTTCTTGACCTGCAGATTTTCTTTTCCAAACCTCTTTGCTCTCTTTGTAAGGTTACATTAACAGGTACAAAGTGCATAAAATGAGGGACTAGAGAAGAAACAGAAGTACTTAATTTTAGAATGCTTTGCTGCATTCACAGAGCTGAAAGAATGTTTAATTTTTTTATGTCAGGATTGACATCTCTTTGACATCTTGTTTAAACCATGGCCCTGATCTTATTATAAGTGAGGAGATAAAACAGCTCTGTGAGCTATCTGCCCCACGCAATGCTGGCTGGTTGGAAAGTCAGATGGGACATTTGTGTGTGTATGTGTGTGTGTGCGCATGCGTCTATGTGCACACATGATGGATGTATGTGTGTCAGGGAGATTTTGTTAAATCTGGTGTCCTACCGGGCGAAAACAGACACCTTGCGCTGTTAGAGGGAATATGAAGCCTTTGAAGATCTGGAAGGTCAGCCAGACCTACCTCGTAAAACAAATATGTAGAAGTGCTAGCAACCAGCCTAGGATATCTGATTCGCTGCTGACATTTAAAATGCTTTCAGTTCAGCAAGAGGTTGCAGGTGTGAAGGGAACAAACAAACCTCTTCTAGTGAAGAAGGCTGATCCCTTGAGCTGACAGAGAAGGGTACTGCTGCCTGATAGGAAGGAGGGCAAAGGGTTTTGGGGGGAGAAGGAGGAAAATGGAGTAATGACTGGGTGGGGTCTTCCTAGGTTTCTCTTTGACAGAAAATAAAATATTAGTTCTGAGTTTTTATACTTCATGGGTTGTGGCACTTATTGCACTGGTTGGAAGGAGACAGGACAACATGGTCTGGCCTCAGATATTTTTGGGGGTGTAAAAGTGGCACCTGGCCATACAGTGAGGAACTGGAGCCACAAAGACAATTTCTCAGTGTTCCTCTAGTTAGCTAAGTTTCCTGAGATTGTAAGGAGAAGTTTGCTGATTAATACAATCCATTCTGCTTTACCAAATGCTGAAACGGCAGTGTAGTGTGCTCCTCTGATAGACTGAATTTCAGTCAATTTATTATATGAAGGATTTTACAGTGCTGTCAGAGTTCTTAGGGATGGGAGGAACTTTGCTATTTAGTTATAAAGTTATACTTTTTAAATAACCTTTTAATCAAAGTGTAAAAGGTTGGATTAAAATTTAAAATTGAAAAGCCTTACATATTAAAATCTTTATTATTCCCTCTCTAACTCAAATTTGAAAAGAGAATATCTAGAAATATAAACAACAAGTATTTTTTTATGAGCCTAGAAATTACAAAATCTCTTTTTGATTTTTTTTTTTTTTAATTGAACATTAAAAGATCTGGACAAGTTCCTTTTCTCACTGAAGTGAATTCCTTTCTTTCTTGAAAACTCAAGCTTTTAAAAATATTCTTTCCTTCAAAACATACTGCTGTAATAAGAACTTGGTTCAAATCATGATCTAGCACAAGAGAATAACTCCTTTGCTTTCAGCAAAGTTGTATTTCTCTCTTCAGACTGTGTGGTACGTAAGTTCTCTCACTCTAGATAGGAGAAAATTGAGTATCTGTAGAGTGCACACTTCTGTGCTGCCCTTAGCACTTGGCTGATGTTCATGTAAGATGGACCATGCTCTGCTCCATTTTGGCCCTTAACTACTTAACAGAGACAAATGTTTCATGATCAAAGATTTTTTTTTCAAACAACACAGCACTTTGCTTTGCATATTTGGGTTTTGGCCATCTATATTTCTTGCTACAGCATTCCTACGTTTCTAGCTGTCTTATGTTGATGCCTTCTTATACTGCATATGCACATGAAAGTATCTGAGGCGCATGCTCGCTGAATAGTTGACCTGACAGATGCTGAGGATAACTAACAGGCACTTTCTAGACTCCAGGACCTACTTGGCTTCTTCCTGCCATAAGCAGAAACCTTGGTTTCTGCAGTATCTCCCAACACTGCAACCAGCACATTGCAGACAGGGGCCATTTTTCAAAGAAATTATAGAACTGAAGATCTTCCTTCTCTTCTTCCTCCCTTCGGTCTGATATGAAAAGCTCTTGGCCGCACTGGGGATTCAAAAGACAGTGGCCATGGCTCCCCAGCATTGTTGCAGAAACCTGGCATTCCAGCACTGGGTGATAAAGCTGTGGAGAATTGATCTGAATTGATCGAGTTCTTCTCTTTCACTGTTGAAACTGAAGAAGAGGGTAAAACGTCCACATGCAGCAGGCTACCAAGTTGTTATAGATAGTGCTATTAAGGGGGCAGTGGGTCTTGGCGAGGCTGGAGAGGGGAGTGCGGTCTTACCCACCAGCAGGATTGGGTGCTTTATTACTTGAACGCCATCCTCTTCAGTAGTTGTTCAGGCACCTTCTGACCTTCACCCCCGTGAGAACTTCACCCAAGGAGGAGCCACCTACCCTGTCAGCCCTTCAAGCAACAGAACCATCCAAACAGCTTCCAGCCTGAGCAGCCCTCGTTCATGGTGAGTGAAGTAACTGCCCCTCCACTGCAGTGATCTGCATAGCAACATCAGAGATGGGGACTTAACGTGTAAGCATTTGGCTTTATTTAATCTGAGGGGTTATTTATGTCCTACTGTCCTACTTATGAGATATATTTTTACATTCAGGTGTGCATATATTTTACAATGTGCTTTTATTTTAAGTTTTCTGCTCCCTCTCTTGGTAAGGGCTTGGAGAGCTCTTTGTACTTCCTTCCTCCCACCTCTCCAGCTGGCCTCCTAGAGAGGTCTGGCAGGGAACGTGGGCTGCTGCAGTCTGGAGGGGATATGGGGCAGGCAGGAAAGCAGCAAGATACTGCCTGAGAAAGTTTGGGTTTTGTTTTTCTATGAACTTTTTATGGCACAGGCCTGACCACTGGCCTTTGCAAAGAACACTCCTGAGACTGCCAGCTTCTCAGAGGTAGGAGTGGAATTAAGCTTACGAGGGGTTCAGGAGATGGAGAGTTATTTTATACTTTGGAAAGTGGGTGAAGGGGAGAGAGAAACTGGTGCTTTTCATGGCTTTGGAAAGAGGTGGGAAAAGGAAGCAAGGAGATTGGATTTTTTTGGTCTTTTTGTATATAGAGGGGCAGGAAACCCATGCTTTTGTCTTCTTGAGGAGGTACAGAGGAAGGAAGGAAATTAGTGCTTTTTCTGTCATGTATGGAGAGAAAGCTTCTGCCCTGTGAGCACTGGTTTTAGTGGATGTTAATTAAAGTAGTGCCTTTTCTGCCCTACAGACCCAGGTGCTGCTTGTGAGGCTATGCTGTTGGTAGCGCAAATCTGCCTGCTATCCCAGGGCTCAGGATTGATGGAGGCAGCAGCAGTGCTGAGGTGGATCTAGGTGGCCTGAAAGGCATAATCTGATGGCGCTAATCCACACTGAAGGGTTCACCAACCACCTCATACAGGGATGTTGTCAGATACAGCAGGTCCCAGGGATTCTCACAGGATGTGGGAAATTGGCATCCTCTGTATCCTGGAAGGCCCTTCTGCATGTGGTCAGCGAGCTGAGCGCACAGTCCATCATCACAAGGCTGTGTGTATGCAGGCGGGCCGACTATGGACGTTTCAGCTGAGGTAAAAAAGCTGCAGCGCCTCAGGTAAATACAGGCTCTGTGACTTTCCAGAAGCTGAGGTTCTGCAGAGGGGCAGAGAACGGCAGCTGCCTGCACCAGAGGACTAGAGAGTTGAAAGTGATAGTTTTTCTCTTAGTGTAATCATTAAGAACTATATGGACACAGCCTATGGGAGTGGGAATCTCATCTTTTGTTCCCTGCAGCTGAGGATTCCACACGAGGGAAA